GAACTAGTCTCTTCACACTTGGCTCTCAGCTATACAGCTTACTGCAATGTTCACTTCAGTTTCCCAGATCAAAATCCCCTGCCTGGCTTTCAGAATCTTCATTATCCATACCCCTACACTCCTATCCCAGGACTGTGTTCTTTCTGCTCCAGCTTCAAGATGATGTTTTCTCAAACCCACGGCACCAAGCCTATCTCCATTTAAGGTATCTTTTACTTGTGACTTCTGCCGTTCACTCCCCAATCTTGAGATATTTCTCTCCTTGAAATACAGCTTTACAAGGATTCTCCCACAAAACCCACTGTGATGCTGATCTCCTGTGTCCACATCCACATAGAGCCCACACTAAGTTAAATTTTGACAGTCATGTCTTGTTATATTTTACTTTATTCTTCCATAGTTACCTAACTCTCCTCCTGCTGAAGTCTTGACATCCTAACTAGACTATCCACTCCAGGAATGACTTACTTCTGTTTTGCAGTCTCTTACTATGGTATCTTTAGCATTGGCAGGCACTTAATAAACAAACAAGTTTTCAAAGTTAGTTGGCTAGGGAATAGAAAGGGAAAACATAAGTAGTCATTTAAGAATCGCATATCAGTCTCTTCTATAGTCGAGCCTACCCTGCCTTAAACCTTCCAGGCCAGGCCTCTTTATTACATGGCTGGCCAAGTTCAAATATGATTTAGTTCTGTAACGCATAATGATTAAATCAGGGCAAGCGGCCTTTCCAACTAAGCATCACTTGAGAAAAACAATGTGTAAGTCAGTGTAGGCCAAAGAGAATTACAGCCCTGCATTTAATCCAAGTTGAGCAGATTTAAAATCATGTATGAGATACAACTCTGGGTGTATCTTTTGAAAGAACTTTTTTTTTTCTGTTAATTAAATGTGTCGTTTGAATGCTTTCTCATTACTCTTACCTCCATCTTCTTTCATCTTCCTCCCACACCTACAAACTCTTCTCCTCCCTTCCTCCTGGTTCTTTTCCCGTGTTTATGTTTTTGTTGTTTCTTTTTTTGGTGTGCTGAGTTTAATCTAGGACATCTTCGTGATCACAGGTATGAAACTATCATGTGCGTGTTGGTTTACGATAGGTACTCATTTGAAGATAATGACTCCCTCTTGCTGAGAATCCATCAGTAGCCAGCATCTCAGCAGGGAAGGGTGCACCACATGAGACCCTTCCCCATCTGTCAGTCACTGCCTACAGATGCAGTCTGGTATAGGCTCAGAGCAGGCAAGCTCAGCTGATGTGAGACTGTGGTTGGAATGACGGTGTCATACCCAAAAAATAACGTTTCATGATCCTGCTCCCACCTTTCAACGTTAGCTCACAGAGGACTAAGCTTCAAATGTGTGAACAATTCCAATCCATAGTAATGCAGTTTGTATGCTCCGGATACTCTTGAAATATATGATTCACCTAGACCTGCTCTTGGCCCTGACCTGCACTCCTCCTGTCTTCTTTTATTTCCTGTTGGTAGATGCTAGGTGACCGAGTCTAGTTTTATGATGAACACCCTACACCCATGCTGGTGACTGTGAGAGAGTGTCCCTGGTGTGGACCCTGCAATGATATGAATGAGTCATAAAACTCAGAGGCACATTTAGTTTCATAAGAGTTGTCATATTGTTTTCCAGAATGACTGTACTGGCTCACACTTCCATCAGCCATCCTTGGTGGTTTCTGTTTTCCTATGGCCCCACCAGCACCTGGTATGATAAGATATGCAATTACCACCATGACCATGTTGGGGCACTGTGTTGGACACCTTACATGCCAAAGAAAAAAAATCTCTAGTCAAAAGAAATATCAGGGAGGCCGAGAGTTCTTTCCAGAAATTCCCTGTAGCCCTCCCCTAAGTCTGTGTTACTGTGTGGCATGAGGCAAGTGTCCCTCTAGCAAGTCCCTATCAGAGATGACCAGATTGCTGTGGCTGCTTGAAGTGAAGGTTGATTCATCTGATTGCCAAGGATCTCTTTTGAGCACACCCTTATCTCTGTCAAATCTATACACAACTGGGACTATTTAATAAACAAGAGAGCAGAGGCTAACTGCTGCTCAGCAACCAACAGTCTGCATGAGGTTTTCACTTTTGCCAATTTCTGAGGTGCATAGTGCCTGTTCTGTGCAAGTAGTATCCCCCTTCTGTAATCATGCAGCATCTTCCCCAGATCTGTTTAGCTAACCACTTTCAGAGATCAGAAGTGATGTGTTAACCAGCACATGCCCATTATCTGGGGATCAGATCTGTCCGACTTATTTTAGCAGCCTAGCGTTCTTTAGAAAATCTTCGTACCAGGTAGACAGCAGACCTGTTCCCACCCCAGCTGTTCAAACTGAGGTCAAGCATGGTCCCAGTGAGAGAAGGCAACAGAAAGTTTCAAGGGCAGAGTAGCACAACTCTGGCCCTGTGCCATGACACGTGGGGAGGAGCACCTGTCAGGGGCTAGTATCTCTGCAGGTAGCTGCTTTCCCTTCTTACTCACCACAGGGGTGCTCTAGTAATCCTTGCATTTTTCTGTCTGACCAATGAAAGAAAACACTGATTTTTAAGTGATACCCAAATGTTAAAATTTGTTGAGTACTTGCTCTTTGCCAGGTGGCTTGGGGTTGGGGGTGGGGTGAGGAGGTTCATTCCTATGAACTTATAGAACTCTCCATGACACAGAATCTGTCTGTGTCATGGGCACAACATGCATTCTGAAAAGAAACCTGCTTCCAGGCTGGGGATCTGGTTCAGTCATAGAGTACTTGCTCAGCATCCATAAGGCCCGAGGAAGAAAAAGAAAATTGCTCTTGGCATTTATTAGCAGGTGGCTTTAAGCAAGTAACTTCACTGAGCCACATCTTTTGGCTTTCTTTGTGCACCACAGATAATAGTGGTATGTTTCAAGTACTCAGTGGGTTAACAATATAAAGGACTTAGAATATACTAAAATATTAGATACTTTTTACCATTTTAAAAGGAAAATGGATCTTGAGGTAGCACTATTCCTAATTTTCTGACAAAGTGCCAGATCGATTTCCAAAGTGGTTGTACAAGCTTACATTCCCACCAGCAATGGAGGAGAGTTCCCCTTTATCCACAACCTCTCCAGCATGTGTTGTCACTTGAGCTTTTGATCTTAGCCATTCTGACCGATGTAAAGTGAAATCTCATGGTTGTTTTGATTTGCATCTCCCTGATGACTAAGGATGTTGAGCATTTCTTTAAGTGTTTCTCTGCCATTTGGTATTCCTCTATTGAGAATTCTCTGTTTAGCTCTGTACCCCATTTTTTAATAGGATTGCTTTATTTGTTGCTGTTTAACTTCTTGAGTTCTTTATTTATATATTCTGGATATAGATAGATAGATATATATATTTATATATTCTGGATATATATATATATTTATATATTCTGGATATATATATATATATATATATACTCTGTCAGATATAGGGTTGGTGAAGATCCTTTCCCAGTCTCTAGGCTATTCTTTTGTTCTGACAACAGTGTCCTTTGCTTTACAGAAGGTTTCAGTTTCATGAGGTCCCATTTATTGATTGTTGATCTTAGAGCCTGTACTGTTGGTATTCTGTTCAGGAAGTTGTCTCCTGTGCCAATGAACTCAAAGTTCTTCTCCACTTTTTCTTCTAACCTATTTAGTGTATCTGGTTTTATATTGAGGTCTTTGATATACTCAGACTTTAGTTTTGTGCAGGGTGATAAGTATGGATCTATTTGCATTTTTCTACATATAGATAATCCAGTTAGACCAGCACCATTTGTTGAAGATGACAGGAGCCTACCACAGAGGGCCTCTGAAAGACTCTACCCAGGAGGATATCAAAGCATATGCTGAGACTCATAGCCAAACTTTGGGCAGAGTGGAGGGAATCTTATGAAAGAAGGGGGAGCTAGAAAGACCTAGAAGTGTCTGGAGCTCCACAAGGAGAACAACAGAACCAAAAAAATCTGGGCCAAGGATGTTTTCTGAGACTGATACCCCATCCAAGATGCATTCATGGAGATAACATAGAACCCCTGCACAGATACATCTCAGTCTCCAAATGTGTACCCTAGTAAGGGGAACAGGGGCTGTCTCTAACATGAACTTAGTGGCTGGTTCTTTGATCACCCTGAGGGGGTAGACAGCCCTACCAGGCCACAGAGGAAGACAATGAAGTCAGTCCTGATGAGACCTGATAGGCTAGAGTCAGATGGAAGGGGAGGAGGTCCTGCCCTATCAGTGGATTATGGAGGGGCATGGGAGGAGATGAGGGAGGGACAGAGGCAGGGATTGGGATGGGAAGAGGGTGGAGGCTACAGCTGGGATGCAAAGTGAATGAATTGTAATAAATAAAAATTATATTTCAAAAAAGGAAAATGGAGAATTGTAGAGGCTCAGTGTAGTCAACTTACCAAACACCAGACCACTCTGCTTAGCATAGTCACAATTAGAAGAGTCAAGAGTGCCAGGTCCCAGAGCTGGTACTGACTCTGGACATTAAGAAGTAGGGAATAGCCATGGAATTTCTTGACTTCTGAAGCAGGAAAATACATTCCTACTCAGCCATACTTTTTACACACACACACACACACACACACACACACACACACACACACACACA